ATTTAAAAAATCCACGCCTATGGCAGTGATAGTCCTTCTCGAAAAATATTATTTAAAAAATCCACGCCTATGGCAGTGATAGTCCTTCTCGAAAAATATTATTTAAAAAAATCCACGCCTATGGCAGTGATAGTCCTTCTCGAAAAATATTATGTAAAAAATCCACGCCTATGGCAGTGATAGTCCTTCTCGAAAAATATTATGTAAAAAATCCACGCCTATGGCAGTGATAGTCCTTCTCGAAAAATATTATTTAAAAAATCCACGCCTATGTCAGTGATAGTCCTTCTCGAAAAATATTATTTAAAAAATCCACGCCTATGGCAGTGATAGTCCTTCTCGAAAAATATTATTTATAAAAATCCACGCCTATGGCAGTGATAGTCCTTCTCGAAAAATATTATTTAAAAAATCCACGCCTATGGCAGTGATAGTCCTTCTCGAAAAATATTATTTAAAAAATCCACGCCTATGGCAGTGATAGTCCTTCTCGAAAAATATTATTTATAAAAATCCACGCCTATGGCAGTGATAGTCCTTCTCGAAAAATATTATTTAAAAAATCCACGCCTATGGCAGTGATAGTCCTTCTCGAAAAATATTATTTATAAAAATCCACGCCTATGGCAGTGATAGTCCTTCTCGAAAAATATTATTTAAAAAATCCACGCCTATGGCAGTGATAGTCCTTCTCGAAAAATATTATTTAAAAAATCCACGCCTATGGCAGTGATAGTCCTTCTCGAAAAATGTTATTTAAAAAATCAGCGCCTATGGCAGTGATAGTCCTTCTCGAAAAATATTATTTAAAAAATCAGCGCCTATGGCAGTGATAGTCCTTCTCGAAAAATATTATTTAAAAAATCCACGACTATGGCAGTGATAGTCTTTCTCGAAAAATATTATTTAAAAAATCCACGCCTATGGCAGTGATAGTCCTTCTCGAAAAATATTGTTTATAAAAATCCACGCCTATGGCAGTGATAGTCCTTCTCGAAAAATATTATTTAAAAAATCCACGCCTATGGCAGTGATAGTCCTTCTCGAAAAATATTATTTATAAAAATCCACGCCTATGGCAGTGATAGTCCTTCTCGAAAAATATTATTTAAAAAATCCACGCCTATGGCAGTGATAGTCCTTCTCGAAAAATATTATTTAAAAAATCCACGCCTATGGCAGTGATAGTCCTTCTCGAAAAATATTATTTAAAAAATCAGCGCCTATGGCAGTGATAGTCCTTCTCGAAAAATATTATTTAAAAAATCAGCGCCTATGGCAGTGATAGTCCTTCTCGAAAAATATTATTTAAAAAATCCACGCCTATGGCAGTGATAGTCCTTCTCGAAAAATATTATTTAAAAAATCCACGCCTATGGCAGTGATAGTCCTTCTCGAAAAATATTATTTAAAAAATCCACGCCTATGGCTGTGATAGTCCTTCTCGAAAAATATTATTTAAAAAATCCACGCCTATGGCAGTGATAGTCCTTCTCGAAAAATATTATTTAAAAAATCCAGGCCTAGGGCTGTGAAAGTCCTCCTCGAAAAATATTATTTAAAAAATCCAGGCCTAGGGCTGTGATAGTCCCCTCGAAAAATATTATTTAAAAAATCCACGCCTAGGGCTGTGATAGTCCTCCTCGAAAAATATTATTTAAAAAATCCACGCCTAGGGCTGTGATAGTCCTCCTCGAAAAATATTATTTAAAAAATCCACGCCTAGGGCTGTGATAGTCCTCCTCGAAAAATATTATTAAAAAATCCACGCCTAGGGCTGTGATAGTCCTCCTCAAAAAATATTATTTAAAAAAATCCACGCCTGGGGCTGTGATAGTCCTCTTCGAAAAATATTATTTAAAAAATCCACGCCTGTGGTTGTGATAGTCCTATTCGAAAAATATTTAAAAAATCCACGCCTATGGCAGTGATAGTCCACCTCCAAAAAAATATGTAAAAAATCCACGCCTATGTCAGTGATAGTCCTCTTGGAAAAAAAATCCACGCCTAGGGCTGTGATTCTGCTCCTACGCCTTTGATAGTACTTCTCCAAAAATTGTATATATATATTCTATTTTAATGATATATATATATATATATATATATATATTAATGACCCATTTTAAGCCAATAAATATTGACCTCTTCTAAAAAGGAAAACCTTGACCTATTGCTCTTCTGCTTGAATATACAAATATTTTGTTTTCAAATTCCATTGGGTCGTTTTGTTTCATTGTAAATAGGCAGGCACCACAGCAATACGAATGCTTGGTAAGCATTTAAAGGATTTTAGTTTGTAATGTTGTTGTTTTTTGCGACACAAGTTATTTATGTTGCAGCAGAGCATTAACTTTTCTATTTCGAGTATCGTTTGCTTGGTCTTTTTCGAAAGGACAAAGAAAATGCCTTTTTTGCCATATGTCAAGTCAATGGTTACGAAAGGGCGAGAGAGAAAAAATTCAAGAATGTATGTCCCTATGCCATCCATTTATTATTTAATGTTAAAGAAATGTTTTAAATATCTAAGGAAATAGAGATAAATAAGCGAACAGTCGTAGATTTTTAGTAGATTTTTAGGATAGAATTTATATGCCGATGTCATTGTAGATTTGTTGCCTTATACAATAATAAACAAAAAAATTATCAAGCTCTACCCTTAAAATTTTTTTTCTGGACCATCTAATCGCGTAAATTGCTTATTAAATTAAACCAGTAAGGAAAGTAGTAAAGTCGGACGTGGCCGTCTATATGATTTCCTTCAGCACTTTCGGTATATTCAACATATGAATCCTAACCGATGTCGCATTTTGAAGTAAAATGAAATTGGATCCATAAACATGTCATTCTGCAACCTATACTAAATTGTTCATTTGATCAGATATATAATTGCTTCTTACAATGGGACAAAATTATGTAAATCAATTTAAAGCAAATATCAATCGGACGCCCGTGTATTATTTGGATAAATATCTGATGAACATGAGGAGTGTGGGGCAACATTTGCATTAAATCAGACGAAATTATATATAAAAGCTGTATTTAAATCGGAACCGATTTTCACGAAACTTAACACACATCATGCTAGACTTAATTCAGTACGCTATGCCAATTTCGTGCAAATTAAAATATATTTATTGAATTTGGTTCACAATTTACATAAAATCGGACGAATATATATAGGAGCTATATCTAAATCTGGACCGATTTTCACGAAACTTAACACGTATCATTCCAGACCTAATTCATTGCCATGTATATCCTGCAGATTGGACACAAGTTGTAACAATTTAAAACTTTTCTAAGACCTACCGATAAACTTGAGCTTAATAATGAGGTTAAGTGGTATGAAAACGTATAGATATGCATCAATTTAATAATAGCAAGTAAATATCGGCCGGGCGAACTTTGGATACCCTCCACCATAGGTATACTGACAGGTACTTGAAATGAAAATATAAAGTGAACCTATACAGACATTTCTACAAACAGATTTATGTAAACCATAAAGTTCACCAATGGGAAAAATGGAGATTTTCCCTAAAAACAACAAACAAACAACATTTCCGTTGAAGGTAGGCACATCCCCACTCTCCAGAAGGTGAAAGCTAGGAATAAAGTTCTGAAAGCTTTGGCAACTCCTGGTGGCAAGAATAAAGAAACGTTGGAAATGACATATAAGGCCATAGGTCGTTCCATCCTGAATTATGGACTTCTTTCCTTAGTGACACACAATGGTGATCCTTGCAAACAACCAAAAATAATGCACTCCGAATTGCAACCGGTAGATTGTCGATAGCGAACGCGATAAAATCCGTGCATTAACTGGCGGTCTCCGAAACCAAAAATGGCTACAGATGCAATAGTCCTACAACAAGATCCTCCTGCAATTTCGGATAGTGAGAGGCTTCTTCCTAGGCAAACCCGTTCAATTCTGGCACAAATAAGGTCCGGATACAGCAATGTTCTCAACTCGTCCACGGAGCCCTTAAAAGGTGTCTATTCAATTGTCCGTCCGAAGCTACTAAGAACTCAAAGTAATAAATTACAACCAATTTGGGCAAAAAAATGCGCTTAAATCACCCACAAAAATGAAAATTGGGGGTACGTTATATTGGGGTTACCAGAAAAAATGGACCTATATTTATAATATTTATAATATTTCAGCGAATTCAGTTGAAAAACTCCCTCAGGAACCCCCCAAAATTCCGAAAATACCCTTATATGGGAGCTATGCTTAAACGTGGACCGATATAGCCCATCTTCGAACTTGACCTGTCTGTAGACAAAAAACTCTTTGTAAATTTTTGCAAATCTATCTTAATTCATTTAGAGGCAAAAACGATTACAAAAGACGGCCACGTTAGATCGTCATCGAATTTTATTAATTAATCGAAATTAATATTTCGATTAATAACGAACGGAAAAACGAAATTAATATAGCCTCCATACTATGCTGGAGGAGATAAAACAAATAAAACATATTAAAGATATAAAAAATATTTAAACCAACTTACCTTATTTTCACGGTAAATTTTGGAATCTTGATTTTTTAATTCTATAATAACTTGAAAATCTTGCATTTGATAAATATTCTTGAATCTTGCTTTTGCTTATGTTTTTCTTATCTTAAGTTTTTCATAGCTATAATATTAATAAAAATAAAAAATAGAAGAGAAAAAGAAAAAAGATAGCAATAAATTAAGGAAACAAAATTTATAAATCCAACCCACCTCTCTTCCCAGATTAGATAATGAAAAATTAGTTTGGTGATAAGTGATAATGTGTTAAAAAGATGAAGTTGATTGATGTCTTGTAGGCATGAATTTTTGTGTGTTGTATAGGAATATTTTTCGTTTTTCAATTTTATTGAGTTATTATCAATGATGACTTGCTTGGCAAATATTTCAGTAGACTACTTTTTAACTTGACTTAACGTTTTTTTTCTTTCACTTAATTCTAATAAAAACACATAAAAAATGTAAATGCAAATCTTGTAAACTCATCACGTTCGGTAATCTCTTCTTTGTTATGTCAACATTTAAGGTTGCATACGGAGGGCACCATCAATACGAATAGTTTCACCGTTCATCAAGGGATTCTCATAGATGGCCTGCACCAAATGAGCATATTCCGAGGGTTCGCCCAAACGTTGGGGGAATGGAATGGACTTGGCCAAGAAGGTGCGCACCTTTTCGGGCAAAGCAGCCAACATGGGTGTGTTGAAGAGACCAGGAGCAATGGTGCAAATGCGAATACCTTGGGTGCTCAAATCACGGGCAATTGGCAAGGTCATACCGGCAACGGCAGCCTTGGAGGCAGAGTAAGCGGCTTGGCCAATTTGACCATCGAAGGCAGCCACAGAGGCAGTGTTGACAATAACACCACGTTGGCCATCTTGATTGGGTTCGTTGGCGCCCATAACGCCAGCAGACAAACGGATAACATTGAATGTACCAACGGTGTTGACCATCAAGACACGGGTGAAGTCTTCCAAACGGTGGGCAGTGTTCTTGTTGAAGTTATAGGTACGGATGGCGGTGGCAGTACCGGCACAGTTAACAGCCAAATCCAAACGGCCGAATTTTTCCTTGGCAGTTTCAAGAGCGGTGGTTACATCCTTTTCGGAGGTAACATCGACGGGAACGAAGACAACATTGTCACCCAATTCCTTGGCAACTTCATTACCCTTGGAGGAACCCAAATCGGCCATAACAACACGGGCACCTTGTTTGGCGAAACGTTCAACGGTGGCACGGCCCAAGCCGGAGGCACCACCAGTAACGAGAGCAACACAGTTCTAGAACATGCAAAGAAAAAAAACAACAAGAACAAAGAAATAATAAATGAAATTGTTGCTGTTGTTGTTAAACACATATTTTTTGGAGCGATTGTATAACGCTTATCATGAGACAGACAGTGACGTTATCATAATAAAGATGTTCAAAAGTCCGATTTTTTTTGTTCACCGGCCAAATTTGAACTTTGTACTTTTCACTTTCATTGACTTGCATGCATGCATAGTTTTGATTTGTGTTATCCTTTTATGATTGTCTCCAATGTTTTCTTTTTGTTCACCGGTCAAACTTGGACTTTGTACTATTCACTTTCATTGCATTGCAAGCAAGCATGCATCGTTTTGATTTGTGGTGACCGTTTTACAATTCTCTACCAATAATGTTATCAAACAATTGCAAGGGAACCTACCTTAATCATGTTTATGGTTATTTTATTATTATAGTTTCCCGAAAAAAAAAGAGATTGCAAAAAATTCCGCACTTGCTAAACTTCCGAACAGCTGCTAAAACACCGGTTGAATGTTCCACCAACTTCTGCAAAATTTATAAATTTTGATTGTCAAGAGTTGCCATCGTTAGTATTTCAATGCAAACTGGGTAAGTAGTTGGCATCGCGGTTTAGGAGGGATGATCAAATGGCATGATTGGTGAACAGTGTTATTTACATCAAATGTTTATAAGAATTTTATTAAATAAATAAATGGAAACCTAAGCCATCCGTTTTAATTTTCAAATCCAAGGCAATATGGGTATAGTTTTAATGCTTAAGGTCCCCACACACCATTGGGCATGCATGACAACATTTGCAGTAGTATTAGTGATTTTATGACAGTTTGAGAATGTATGTGTGAGAGTTTGAAAATGAAATGAATGATTGAAGAGTTGTCTACACACTCTTCAAGCACACACGTACACAGAGGTTCATCGGCAGTAGCAGTACGGCAGTATAGCGTGTGAGCTCATTTTAGACAATACTTTGAAGCTAGAAGTGCAATTCTTCATTTATGACAGGTATTATTGAAAGTGGAGTGCATTGGAAAAAATGCATCGGTTTATTGCCTTTCATAGAAAACAGTTTAAAGCCCCGGCCAACGATCGGCAACCTAAAAACTGCGTAATATTATTCCAAAATTGTAGTTAAAAAAAGAATTTGAATTGCGCAGCCGTGTATCCGCCTATCCATAGGGGAACGTCTTAAGCCCCATCCCTAGCCCAGGTACTTAAAAAATTGGATTGCGTAGCCTTTTATATTACAAAATTTCTGATAAAAAATCGAGGAGAACGTCTTAAGCCCCGTCCCAAGGCCAGCTACTTAAACACACCTTAATATTATTTTTACATTCTACTTGTAAAAAAATGGATTGCGTAGCCTTTTATATTGCCTTTAAAAAAAATTCTGATAAAAAATCGAAACGAAAACAAATTCAGATAAATTCTTCACTATTTTCTTGTAGAACTTCTTCGAACAGACAAAACAAATCTATTAAATATTTTAGTTGGCAACACTACTTTGTTTGCAACAAAGCTATCATTTCACAGTACCTAACATTTAAGTAAAAGAAGAAGAAGAAATTGCAAAAAAATCCTTAATGCCGGTAAATTTTGTTATTGCAGAAGGATCCTTACAGAAAACAGCATTCTCTTCCTGAAATATCCTCCTACCACTGGATAACTGGCACATTTTCCTCTCTCATTCCGAATTGAATGTTCAATTACCAATCTATTGAAAAATTTCTGCAAATCTGGATGAAACTGGTGAAGTGATGATCGCCGTATCAGAATCTCTGGAATATATTCCACGAGGTCGGCAGGCGGTCGATGAACATCCTGGACCAACAGAAATAAAACAACATCCACATTTGCCCTCAGAGAATTTGTTATTATTGCGTTTACAAAATGTCAATATATCGGCCAAGGAGGAACACAACGAATTTTGGTGTGTCCGTGAAATTTATGAAGATTTTAATCAAAGCAACAACAATAAAAATGCTAATAAGAAACAACAACAGAATAATAAAGGACATAGTTTGGACGCCAATTTGAATAAGAGCAGTGAAACAAAACCGCCACCCACTGGCCCACCGGAATATATGTGCGATTATTTGGTTAACTCTGAAGAGGAATTGTATGTTCGGAAACATACTGCTGTGTGGACAAGGGGTAAGTGAAAAAATTAAATTTAAATTTTAAGGTGATAAAGGATTTAAAAAAAATCTGAACATTGAATTTACGAGCTGTATCCATATATCCTAAATTATTTTTTCAACCTCATGAAAGTATAGAGTACGTCGGAATAGAGCTCATAGTATTTAAGTTGGAGCTTTGAAATTCTGCGCATGCATTCCTACTATACCCTGGTGCTGTTAAGAGCATATTCGCTGATAACTGTCACTATAGGGCCATGTTTCGACATTCCCTTTCATTTATTTCTATTTTTTCAGGCATATCCGATGAACGCTGTAATTTACCAAGACTCTGTTTCACTTGTGAAACACCCATTAAATTTGCCTTCTTTTGTCACAAGTCCTTCATCAGTTCACCCAAGGAACAATTGGCCGAAGAGGAATCTGGACAAAAAATCACCTCAATTTGTTTGATAGGTAAATATTTAATATATGTTTTTTTTAAATTATATAATTTTAAATAATTTTTCTCTTTTCAATTAGATCAAAATTCTTTGCGTGTCTATTGTAGCAATGGTGAAGATTTCCTCTCAAATCTGGAATTTCCCGTCTCACACGTGTGGCCAACACGTTTTGGTATCCTGTTGGAAAAGGTCGCTTCGAATACGATAATACAAAATCATTCGATTTCAATGCCGCGACTATTTTCTTTAAGTCATCCATTGGATGAAATATGTCCAGTACTCAATAAATCTTCGACAAATGTTATTTCATATCTTATCGAATCAGATTATAAGATCATATTCTCCGATGAAAAATCCGATTTGTTGCTATTGTGTGATACTAAAATTGGTAAGCATTTTATATCACGCCTGCGTAAAGCCAGTGCCGAGGAGGTACAATATATTGGAGCACAAAATGAAACAGTTTTAAGTAGCAGTGTTAATCAGTTCAGTGTGCACAAGCCCAATTTGGGTGGAACTGTTAATCAGTGCAGTTTCTCCCAGAGTAGTATGAAATTTAGTGGAGGTAAGTGGTATTGGAATTGAAAAATTTGTAAATCATTTTTTGTATTTTTTTTTATTTTAGTTACTCCTAAAAACAGCACAGCCCATTTGGGTCGCACTAGTTTGGGTACCTCGAATTATACAACACATATTAGTAAATTTTTGAATAGTGCCCATTCAATTAGTGGAGCTTTTGGTAATTTGAAGTAAGTTGTTCTTCAGCATTACTGATTGAGTTTTAATTTAATTTATTTCATAATTCATTTATTGATTATTAATTTATTTAATAATTCAATTTTTTTTCTAGCCGTTCCAGTCCAGCCTCACCCTTAAGTAATTTACAATCCACCATTGGCCAACATTCTATATCCGTACAGGATATACGCAAATGTGGTCAAAGTCAACCATCCAAACCCATAGTACCGGAATTATGTTTGGAACATATTTGGACTGAAAATACCTATGGAAAGTAAGTCTATTTTTATTACAAAATTGCAAGTAACATTTGTCAAATATCCACATCCTTGTTATGAAAATTGTTTGTCATCAAATCTCAAAAATCCTTCCGAATTCAAATTAACATCCCTACTTAATTTTTTACGGATTAATATTCGACATAAATAAGTTAAAATTAAACAAATTTTGCATTTTCCATAGCTCTCGAGACTTCTGTGAAATATCATCAAAGGCTTTTATACACACAGATTTGGTGGGACAAACTTATCTCTGTTATCTGCTACCACGTTCGTGTAAATTACAAATGGTCAGACTGAATAATTATGATAGCGAAAATTTAAACATTGCCACAATGTGTACTTCTATTGTGGCCAAGGATGCTGTTTCTCTGGAGGTAATTTTTCTTAAAATAGTATTACGTAATTTATTGTTACCCATTTTTTTATTTAGCGCATGAATATGATAGCTGTTTTGGATCCTTCGGGTACGCTAATACTTTATACCGGCACTGTATTGGTATCCAAAGTTCATATACCAAATACAATATCGGGTAATACACCGGCTTCTAAAATGCCCACAAGTGTACATAATATAACACCATGTATGCAAAATAAATCACCAAATACCTCATTCCCAAGGCGCAGCAGTTTATTACCATCTGCCCAAAAACCAAGTGATTCGACATTTGAAGAAGAGCTACATTTGCTGTCGCCTGTGCATCCTTTGCAGCCACAGTTTTTGAGCAGGTTGGTACTCAAATTTAAATACATTTAAAAAATAAAAAATAATTTTCTTTCAGATCCAATAATATATGTTTGAGTCTTCGTGATCCAGCTGGTAATCGCCTGACGCTCACCTACAGTTCAGGGAAAATGTTACGCATTACCTTACCCCTGATAAATGAAACAAAACTTGTTAGCCGTTGTATTGCAGCACTGCGTCAAGTTTTAAAACGTGAACAATTTATACAAATGATTACAAAATGGTATGGTTCACGTAATCCACCCGGATCTCGAGATTATTGTATCGAACAAGAATGGGATATATTTCGTAATGTTCTATTGGATTTAATGGGTTATTCGGAAACAATGCATGATGTTAGTAGTGGTACGGCGACTTCCTTCAATGCCGAGGAACCCAAGAAACGTAAGAAAAATGATGAAATCCACTCGGGTACCGATGAAGATTGGCAATTTATGTTGAATATATTGGATGGCATTGATACCAGTGCAAATGGCAATGGTGGTGGTGGGGAAAGACAACAAACATGCAATAGCATAGATACCACTGCTATTTTATTTAATACAATACCAGCTATATTCTATAGTTTTCATTTACTCTACGAAGATTTTAAATTGGATGATTCTATGCATCAGCATTTGAGGCCATTGGCCAAGGTAGGATTTCCTAAAATTTTTAAAGCAGCCATCTAAGGTTTCTATTTTTTCATTATAGTTTCTCCACCAGTTGGCCTTTGATATGCAATTGCAGTCGTATACATTTCATTATTCATTGGATTTCCCATGCCTTGTCCGCAGTGCTTCGAAGGCTTGTATATTAACCGAACAACATGGTTCACAAATGTTACACAAAGAACTGTTGACAGTACCAGCTCCAAATGTTTTCCAACAAATTGAATATATTTTGAAGGATAAGGAGAATATACCATTTAATTATGTGGATGGTATTAATGATTTGAGTCGTAATGTTTTACAGGTAAGTAATATTTTGATCGGAGACAGGTGAGATTTCTCCAAACATTTTTCGTTCGCAATAAGAATACCGTGTGAATCGTTTGGAATAGTTAAGAAAAACATTTCTCATAATGAGCGTTGAAAGCGAACAATTTTTTTTATTATCTCCCGGCAATCGATGTGGTTGATAACAATCTTTGATGAAATTGTTGTTTGTATCGGTTCATGGCTTCAATATTACGGGTCCACGCTTTGATTTATTTTTGGCAAAATATTTTTGATCCCGCCTTCATGTTGTAATTGTTATTTAATTTATTTTAGGTCATCTCATTAATTATGCATGGTCATGGAAAAATCAAGAAATGGATAAAACCATTGGACTTTGCTGAATCCGTACAATCATATTTTGCGAAGAGGCCAAAACGTTTTATATCTGTTAATGTTTCGCGATCCGAACAGGTTATACAGATGTTGATCAATATGGGTAAGTATCACAAGTCTATTTTTCTACAATTCGAAACCGTTTTGGAATGATTATAAAACTCACTCCAACTCCATTCTAACTGAATTTCACTGAAACATACTTCGTTTTTGAAGAACAGCATTAGCAAATAAAAATAGCATTAGCAAATAAAAATACTTTTATATTTCATTTTTAAATTTCAGAAATAACCCGAAAAGATATCGAACGTTTGCCGGTAGCCATACACCTCTGTATTGCAGAATGCTTAGAATATTCACGTCTCGAACCACCAATTGGTTGTTCTCCCACAACATATGAGTTGATTTTACGTTCCGATTTAGTTGCACATGCTAAATTACAAAATCAAAATTTTCAAACACCCAATTCGGGTTATTTGCAAAAAGTCAATATCGATACAGAAGATTCCCTGTCAGCACGATGTCCACCATCTAAAAATGGTATATCACAAATGGATGCCGCCCTAGATGATGGTATGGATAATATTGATACAAAATTGCTTAGTTTACGTTTTCCTGATGATATGCGGGTTGCGGAGGTACGACGCCTTTTGTCGTCTTCTGAACCGGTAATAATTGATATAACACAATCACCGGGTACATCAGATCATGAATTTATCGAAGAACAGGAAAAGCAATTATTTACCTTGTGTACAAGAACAATGACGCTGCCCATGGGTCGTGGTATGTTCACACTAAGAACTTCTATACCCACACCCACCGAATCAATGCCCATACCCAAGTTGTGCTTGACGGGTAAGGAACCGATCAAGGGAGCCACTGTCGAAATGCAACAAATTGAATTCCCAGCCAATATGAGTCTGTGGCCCACATTTCATAATGGTGTGGCAGCGGGATTAAAAATATCACCCAATGCCCGAGATGTGGACTCAACATGGATTGTTTATAACAAGCCCAAAGGTCAGGCGGATATATCCACAGAACATGCTGGATTCCTTATGGCTTTGGGTTTAAATGGCCACCTCAAAACCCTATCGTTTATGAGTATCTATGAATATTTGGTGAAATGTGATGAAATGACCAGTGTCGGCTTGCTGTTGGGTATATCGGCCACACATCGTGGTACAATGAATAATACAACAACAAAACTATTAAGTGTTCACATAGAAGCCTTATTGCCCGCCACAGCTTTGGAATTGGATATACCACAAAATATACAAGTGGCTTCCCTGATGGGTATTGGCCTGCTTTATCAAGGTACCGCAAAACGCCACATTGCCGAAGTTCTTCTACAAGAAGTCGGCCGTCCACCCGGCCCTGAAATGGAAAATAGCGTCGAACGAGAATCTTATGCCTTAACAGCTGGTCTGGCTTTAGGTTTAGTCACCCTCGGACAAGGAGAATCTCCAGCTGGCCTACGAGATCTTCAATTACCCGATACGTTACATTATTATATGGTGGGTGGTAATAAAAGAAATCTAACCGGTTCGCAAAAGGAAAAATATAAACTGCCCTCATTTCAAGTGCGTGAAGGTGATCAAGTAAATATTGATGTAACAGCTCCGGGAGCTACACTGGCATTGGGTTTAATGTTCTATAATACGGATAATAAAGCTGTGGCAGAATGGATGAATCCACCAAATACACGATATTTGTTGGATTTGGTTAGGCCAGATTTATTGCTGCTACGTACAATTGCTCATGGTTTGATAATGTGGTCAGAAATTCAACCCGATGAGGAGTGGTTACACAATCAATTCCCCGTCAATTTACGTTTTGATGTTGAGAAGGGTTCTCAGGTTAATGATAATGAGGATATCGATCATGAAGCTATAACGTAAGTTTATTAAATAATGGTTCAATTGATACTCAGAATAAAAATGTATTATTGTTTCATTTCAGTCAAGCCTACTGCAACATAATTGCCGGTGCTGCCTTTTGCATTGGTCTAAAATATGCTGGCACTGAAAATCCCGTGGCCTTTAAAACTCTGAGACGTGCTATAAAATTATTTTTGGGTTTTCCGGGAAAATATGTCGGTGAATTTGCTGGTCGCACAACAATTGAAAATAGTCTAATGGTTATACTATTGGCTATATCATTGGTTTTTGCCGGCTCAGGTGATTTGGAAATTCTGCGTATTATACGGTATTTAAGATCTCGTATTGGTTCGGCACATCCACATGTCACATATGGCTCTCATATGGCCATTCACATGTCATTGGGTTTTTTGTTTTTGGGTGCTGGACGTTTTACCATATCGAAAACACCGGAGGCGGTGGCTGCATTGGTCTGTGCATTGTTTCCGAAATTTCCCACGCACAGTAATGATAATAGGTGAGGGGATTTTGTAATTTTTTATAATTTTGTTTTGATTACATTTTTTGTTTTTCTCTTTTCTTTTTCCAGATACCATTTACAAGCCTTCCGACATTTGTATGTTTTGGCCGTGGAACCACGTCTATTTTTGCCTCGAGATATTGATACTCAAAAATTGTGTTTATGTAATATATCGGTATTAGAAGTGGGTGCTAAGGAGATGCGCCGTTTACCTATGGCTCCCTGTATGCTTCCCGAATTGAATTCATTGCAGAAAGTTGTTGTGGATGATCCCAATTATTGGCCTGTATCTTTTGAAAAGAATCGAAATTGGGATCAGTTGGTGTAAGTAAAAATTATTTATTAAAATGTAGATAGACTACAGCAAAAGGAAGTAGGTTTCCTCGTGATCACACATACAACACAATTTCCATTCCTTTCGCACCACTCTGTTCAATATAGACCTATTTCGCTTTAGCTAAAGTCTAGCTGAGACAATAAACGTCGCGTACTAAGGGGGATTTCAATGCTCACCATGAGTTGTGGCATTCCGTCCCATTTAATGACCAAAAGGAACGTTACTGGCAGAGCAAATTGATAGCTTCACGTTCTGTACGGCAAATGAGGATGAGGTAAATGGGAATAAGGGGATAGTGTCACAGTTCGACAGACATAAGCATTATGACACCGGGTCTGATAAATTAAGTCAACTGGCAGCCGCTAAACTGACAAGTATTCAAAGAGTTTACCAACCAGACTTCAGAGAACATTCCTTTCTTTCTGATGTAGTGTAGCAGAAAGGAAATTCCGGAACAGCATTGCATCAGCAGCCTCTAGAATTATACCTGCTAGTCGAATCCTGGTAAGAATGATGATAGGACCTCAGTCACATTTAACGGCGAAACGGTGGCTGATCCGAAGAAATGGTAAGTTATTTTAACTGACAGTTTTTCGAACAATCCTCGAGAGCGACATGGCGAAGCGAAGAGTACTATGTCGTAAAAATCTCTCGCAGAGGAGGTACTATCACAGTTTACAATGGATGGATGTTACATTTGTCATCCCTAACCTAAATCATCTTACAAAGCGATAGGTTGGAGTGTGACCAGCTATGAGGTGCCGGTGTGGCCTGCGAATAATAGTGCTACGCAATGGAGAAGTATTCAGACCTGTCAGAAAAAACTTTGTATATAGTTACTTATTACTCATACGCATCGCCTTAAGTTTCTTCCAAGCCAAAGACCTCAAGACCATCATCCTCTATAACGGGATCAAGGAAAGAGGGAATAAGGAGTCTGTCGACTTCCTTATTAAGTCCACTAATAACCTAGGACTCCTTCTGTTTGGTTTTAACATTTCTAATGGCATTGGACGAGACAAGACGGGGTTTTGGATTGGAGCAGATTTATTCCTGTATCCCTCCAGACCAAATGGGGCAGAATGGGGTGGCGGAAAGACTTAACCGCACGATTATGGATCGAGTACGCTGTATGCTGTTAGATTTGGGACTTGATTCCAAAATTTGGCCTGAAGCTGCGGTTACTGCAGCATACATTTTAAACAGCATTCCATGCCCAAAAGTGGTACGATGTCCTGAAGAGATGTGGACAGGCAGAAAACAGGAATTGGAACACCTAAGAATATTTGGCTATAAGGCATACGAGCATATTCCAAAGTCGCAGAGATCAAAACTTCAGGCCAAGTCAACAGAATGCATATTCGAGGGGTATAGCCAAGAAAGTAAAGCATATCGTTTGTTCAACTCGATGACGAAAAAAATATAACCACCCGTGATGTCGTATTCAGAAGAACAGATATGCAACTCTGATACAGATGCCACGAATGTGTTGGTAAATTCTGTGGTAGAAGTCATCAATGGCAACGAGGGTAAGATCTTTGTCGAAGATGTTCAACACAACCAAGTAGAAGAAGTAGTCGAGATTGCCGATGTTTCCATCAATAGTCTAAAGGTTGAGTTCGACGATTTTCTGATGGCAACATGCAATTTCAAGATGCTGAGCAAGAACTACCAGCTAAGTATGAATATGTAATATAATATTGGCCGTGAAGGCTTCCTTATTACTGAATGAATAAATAAATAAATAAATATGCCGAAATACGTCGATCTGGAAGACTTGTAAAACACGACATACATATTCACCAACTAGATGCAGTGACTGCATATCTCCATGGCGAGCTTAAGGAGGAAATTTACATGTTTCAACCCGAAGGATATGAAGATGGCTCTGATCGAGTTTGTTGTTATTGAATGCGTTTTTTAAAGGGCACGCTAAAAAATGTCTAGTCTACACTAAGTCAGGTGGTGACTTAGTTGGCCTTTATGATGCGGATAAAATTGAGCATAGTTCTTAAGCAACCGTCAAACCAACCACTCGTTTTCTTTTGGCCTCTCAACACATATCGAGAGATTTTCACTCATAGTAACAGAGGATATAAATTGGCCATTAAATTAAAAATTAAATCATGTGTGGGATCAGGATGGATCAAAAATGTCTACTGGACACGAATTGATGGCAGGATAACTAATACGAATCGTGTATGTTGACTAGAAACACACGATACTTTAAACTATTATTAAACTATTTGTCTTTCAATTCTTATGGACTTTTAGGTTCCGACCTTTCTGAATTTGGAAACAGAGGAGGCAGATGCATAAATAAACTTGTACAATTATGCATTTTATCTCCATGTTGTGTTCTTTTGTGTCTTCTTTCAGAAAAGCTTTGGAAAATTCTGCCTGTATTGAAATTAAAAAACGTTCCGGGTGTTTGTCACACTTGGAAGATCCAGATCGTTTGAAAAGTTTATTCTCTCAGACATTGACCACGGAACAATACATTTGCTGGGAAATTGATCCAAAAACATTGGAACGTTTCTCCAATGAGCCGTATGTCATTGGATTTACAGATCGTTTTTTGCATTTAGATGAACCCGACTCGACAAACGATGAATTGGCACTGAAACAACATCTGACCATGCTATTCTATAATGCCGTGGTAAAAGATAAAATGCATGTTTTACCCATTTATTTGGCAATTTATAATGTAAGTAGAAGTGAAATTTAAGATATGCAAAAATATTAAAGTCGGATTTTTTATTCTTTTAGCATGTTTTAAAACTCAACACCAGGGATCCGACTTTCTATAACATTTGGCAGTTGAAATTATTAAATTCTTATTTGGAACAGTATTCACATCCGCACATACTGTTCCCCAAGGAATTGATATCATCGTTTATTGAACAATTTCAAACATTCATTGAAACGTGTCGTCATAAATTGGCAGCGCCTTTAAGGCAATTCATTACAGCCAGAGATTTTGAATCTCACATTGTGGCCAATCTATCGCAACAGGATTTGGCAAAATTGGTATCAGTTGTCATCTACTATCAACTGACACCAAATCTATTAAATAGTCTAGTACAAAGACCCTCAAATTATGTTGGTTATATCAAGGAATTGAGAAAACTTAATTTAGAAGGCAACACCATACAATGTTTGTTGAAAATTTTACAAGCAACAAGTGCCTAAGGATTGAGGGCCAACAATTGAATCTATAATTTAAGAAGAAAAAAATCACCCCAAGAAATTCAATTAAAATATATTATTTATTTAAAAACAAGAAATACATGTATAACAAAATAAAGGTATGTATGAATTTAGATATACAATTTGGTTTTTTTGGTATTATATAAAATTTTGTTTTTGGAAGACCTAATGGAACACTCAAATATTTTAAGAGATTCTAAATATTTAAGAGAAAACATTAAAATTAAATTAAAATCCATTAAAAAAGGAACCTAATGAAGGTATGATGTATGGATTTAAATATAATTTTTTGGTATTATATACGATTCTAAATATTTAAGAGAAAACATTTCAAATTAAAATCCATTAAAAAAGGAACCTAATGAAGGTATGATGTATGGATTTAAATATAATTTTTTGGTATTATATACAATTTTTTTTTAAATTAAATTTTTTTTTGACAAGCCAATGGAAGATTTTTTTTCACATTTTTTAACTAATACCATCATTGTTGATGCGGTTGTTGTAGTTGTTCATGCTGTTGTTGATGCCTATATTCTGAAATGTTTTCCGATGTTAAATAGTTACCATCCTTGATATTGTTGCCCGTACATTTGTTATACAAATATAATGCCATCAAGGGAAATGGTGTCATTATTGCCACTGCCACGGGTATAACTGTTGTTAGATCGGCTTGTGGTTGTGGCAGACTTCGTAACAGAAATATAGAAATGCCCGTATTTTGTATACCAGTTTCAATGGCAATGGTTAGAGCATCAGCCGGATTTTGTCTCAATATCTTGGCCAAGATCCAGGCAAACATGTAACCCAACCAGGGCAATAATAAACCGGCTAAAATTATCTGTAAATAATAAAGTGAAATTATAGTATTTTTTATTTATGAACGTTACAAACCACTTCATTAATTTTGATAAAATCAATATTTTCGGTTTCTTAAGAGACCTTTAAGTATATGTTTAATAAAATATACTCTGAAAGAAATACTTCAATAAAACCTCGCGTCGAACGAATATTTTTCAAAAATCCATAATAAACCAGTAAGGAAAATAGTTAAGTCGGACTGGGTCGACTATACGATACCCTTCACCACTATGGGTATATTCTACATATGTATCCTTACAATTGTAAGTCAATGTTCCCTCGAAGGAACATACCCATATTTAGATTTAGAGTCATCTGCGTACTATGGGACCTATATTTAAATCTGAACCGATTATCACGAAACTTAGCATACATCATTCTACAGTTAATTCAGTACGCTATGACAAATTTCGTGCAAATGGACAGATATATAGGGTCTTTGGTGCACAATTTACATTAAATCGGACGAAAATATATACGGGAGCTATATCTAAATCTGAACCGATTTTTATGAAACTTAGCACACATCATTCTAGACTCAATTCAGTATGCTGTGCCAAATTTCGTGCAAATCGAAACATATATAGGGACTTCGGTGTACCATTTACATTAAATCGGACGAAAATATATACGGGAGCTACATCTAAATCTGAACCGATTTTCACGAAACTTAGCACACATCATTTTAGACTCAATTCAGAACGTTGTGCCAACTTTCGTGAAAATCAAAAAATATTTAAGGACTTTGATGCACCATTTACATTAAATCGGACGAAAATATATATGGGAGCTATATCTAAATCTAATCGGATTTTCAGGAAACTTAACACACATCATTCTAGACCTAATTCATTGCGCTGTGCCAAATTTCGTGCAAATCGAATGATATTTAGGAACATTAAATCGGACGAAAATATATACGGGAGCTACAGCAACGTAGCTCCCGTAAGGGGGGGGGGGGCCGGGCCGCCCACCTGCGTACGTCCCTGCGGAGCTATATCTAAATCTAAACCGATTTTCACGAAACTTAGCACACATCATTCTAGACTCAATTCAGTACGCTGTGCGAAATTTCATGCAAATCGAATGATATATAGCGACTTTGGTGTACTATTTACCCCAAATTCGAAGAAAATATATATGGGAGCTATATTTAAATCTGAACCGATTTTTCCCAATTTCCTTGAATGAGCTGTGCTAAATTTCATCCAATTCGAATAATAACTGCGACCTGTAGTTTGTTGACAATTTAACATGTTTAACGGACGGACATGCATAAATCGACTTAGAAAGTGATTCTATGCATATTCTCAAAAGGAACCATGTGTCTATCTCGTTTCCTTTTGCCTGTTACAAACATATGCACAAAGACATAATACCCTGTACCACAGTATGGGGAAGGGTATAAATGACCCGCAGCACTTTGGCTTCTGACACAGATAATTCTAAAAGACTTTGAAAACATTGTATGCAACACAAACTCACCTTCCATGAAAACAATTTAAACATATATAAATTCGTTACAATTGCAAATATGATTATAAACAATATCAGGCACGTTGATATCGGTTTAAGAAAGCGCACTAAAATCCGTGTCAAACGCTGTGAACATTTTTGTATGGCCAAACCAATGGCCAGTGGTACAATTAAGGCTATAGCAAATGTTGCTATATTTTTATATGGTATAGCCATATTGCCACGTTCAAATATCAAATGGCCCAGTGTAAAAATCCACAAAGGCATCATACCAAAGGCGGCAATATTACTAACGGTCGTCATTAGAACGGATAAATTAATATTGCCACCTAAGATTACAGACCAAATGTTCGAAGCACCACCACTGGGTGAAACACCGGTGAAGAATAGGCCCAGCTGCATTTCAACACTTTCCGAAAAAACGAAATAGCCAACAGCATAACTAATCAGCGGCATTAGCACAAACTGGGAGAAAAAACCAATTGAGGGACCCTGAAAATGAATACAATGGTAATTTAATAAAAATTAATAATATCGATTTGTTTGCACTTACCACAGGTTTTACAATTAATCCCTTTAAGACCGTCACATCCAGGGCAGCACCAAAATTAATGTACAAAAGTGATACCAACAATGCAACTGATCCCGTAAATACGTGATCTATGACACGTTGTTTACGTATTATTATCAATGGAAATGATTCCTTACTAATTTCGGTAATATTCTCCCGTTCATTGATCATGTGTACATGTATTCGTGTAAATCCCAAAAATATAACCTGTATTGTTATATTTCCTTGCCATTTCTGGGTGATAGGATCAAATTGTAATCCCCGTACAATGTCATTAACTTGTGCCAAATCACTGTTTTCGCTGTGAAATCGAAACATAATGTCATTTAAATTTGCCGCATTTATATCTGAAAATAAAAAAATAATTTCAAGTTAAATTTCAATTTCAAAAAGTAATAAAAATGTTTCATAATACATCCACGTGGATTTTTTAAAGAATATTTTTTCAAGGGTCACCACTAAAAGGCGTGGATTTTTTAAAGAATATTTTTTCAAGGGTCACTACAAGGCGTGGATTTTTATACCCTTCACCACACTGTGGTACAGGGTATTATGTTTTTGTGCATATGTTTGTAACAGGCAAAAGGAAACGAGATAGACACATGGTTCCTTTTAAGAATGCGCATAGAATGACTTTTTAAGTCGATTTATGCATGTCCGTCCGTCCAACCGTCCGTCTGTCGGTCTGTCCATGTTATATTGCAAACAAAGTACAGGTCGCATTTATGATTCGAATTGGATGAAACTTGGCACAGCTCATTTATTTGGCCGAAGGACGAGCCCTATTGAAATTAGGAAAAATCGGTTAAGATTTAGATATAGCTCCCATATATTTATTCGTCCGATTTAAGGTAAATGGTGCACCAAAGTCCCTTAATATCTTTCGATTTGCACGAAATTTGGCAAAACGTACTGAATTAAGCCTAGAATGATGTGTGCTATGTTTCGTGAAAATCGGTTCAGATTTATATATAGCTCGCATATATATTTTCGTCCTATTTTATTTAAATTGTGCACCAAAGCCCCTATATAACTTTCGATTTGTACGAAATTTCGCTTAGCGTTCTGAGTAGAGTCAGGACCGGTCCCATATATACTTTCCTTTAATTTTATGTATATGATGCGGCAAAGTCCCTATATATCCTGTGATTTGCATGAAATTTGGCATAGTGTACTGAATTGAGTCTAGAATGCAGTGTGGTACGTTTCGGGAAAATCGGTTCAGATTTCGATTGAGACTTGAATGGCATTATTGCGTTTTGTTGAAACTGGTGCATATGTAGCTAGCTTTCATATGTATTTCGAACGGGTGTCTGATTGTGATTATATTTTTAAAAGTGCGACGTATCGAATAGCGTGTATCAAGGCATGAGTATGTTCCTTCGAGTGAACACTGACATGCAATTGTAAGGATACATATGTACAATATACCCAAAGTGGTGAAGGGTATCATATAGTCGGCCCAGTCCGACTTTACTACTTTCCTTACTGGTTTAAAAAAAAAATTTTCAAGAGTCGTGGATTTTTAAAGAATATTTGTTTAAGGGTCACTACAAGGCGTAGATTTTTTAAAGAATATTTTTTCAAGAGCCACTATAAGGCGTGGATTTTTTTAAAGAATATTTTTTCATGGATCACTACAAGGCGTAGATTTTTTAACGAATATTTTTTCATGGATCACTACAAGGCGTAGATTTTTTAACGAATATTTTTTCAAGAGCCACTATAAGGCGTGGATTTTTTCAAGAGCCACTATAAGGCGTGGATTTTTTAAAGAATATTTTTCATGGGTCACTACAAGGCGGTTCTGGACCTTGATAATCAATCCGTAAGTATATGTTTTTCCAATTTTTTCGTCGGTAAAAACCTCCCGTCGCTGATCATATGCGAAGGCCTCTTGAAACTTAGTTTGTTTACATATATGTATTCATATCTGTATATAGCTCAAAATATTATCTCTCAAATGTAATAAAAGAACATGGTTTATATTATTTAAAATAGACATACTATTTATTTTTTAAAACTTCCTAAGTTCCGACAGATAAAGTTTTAATCATGCAACATCATATTGACGTACACAATCGCGTATGTACATTTGTTGTTGTTTTTTTATTATTTAGCTTTACGCGAGTATTGAATTCTAAGCTTACTTGTTATTTCAACCTGAATTTCAACATTGGTATCCATATGTGCCGTCATATTGCTTGGTTTGAAATGAACATGCCATTGTGGATCTGCAGCGGCGCTTTGCCAAGTTACTGCATTTAGATTCGTTTCACCTACTTCTACGTCTCTCACTTTTCCCGTTGCCCCATTGACCGGCAAGTGGGCTATTAAGCTAACCAACAACACTATGTAAAATGCATCAGTGCGGCAGTGCATTGTGTTTAGTTTTTTAATTGATTTTTTTTTTTGCTCTCAAAAAAATAGTTTTTCTTGGTGCATTCGCAATCAAATGGGGTTATGTACTTTTTGGAATCGTTATTTTTTATTTATTTGCGTGATAATTTCACAATTTTCATCATTCATAATTTATTATCTACAGTTTTTTTTTTTTTTTTGTAAATTTACAGAATATTAAATGTGGATGTACAATTAAAAAAAATTAACTTTAATTAAATAAAATATATACAAAAACACAACCGAACATTTTTACAATCGAGATTAGACTGTCGTTAGTTGATTCCATTTGTTTTGGGGGAGCTGAGTAACGTGCGTTGATGCCAGCCAACGGAGAAAGTTAACAAAACACAACGAATTTGAGAAAATAAACTTATTACTCTTTACACTCACATTAGACTCTCGACAAGACATTCACAATTTTAAGAATTCAAATGGTTGATTGACAAAATAGCTTAACTGCAAAACATACAAGACATTTTTGCAATGCTTAAAAAAAACAATTCTTTTTAAGAATTTTTATAAAACAAAATAAAGCCAAAACATCGGCGCCAATCATGGATCGAGCTGACCCCGATGGGATTATCGCTGACGATAAATTGTTGCTTGTCGTCAGTTATCTGAAAGACCTCTTTCTAAGACGGACGAAGTTGATCGACGGAACCTACGGTTTGGCCAGATCAACTTGTACAAAGGGGTCAAGGTTGTAAATTTGTAAGAAGACAACATCTACGACCCTTTTTGGGAAGATAGTAAACTGGCAGCGGTCCATGAAATACCGAGCGGGATTGTTACCTCAGTGTGGATCCCACCATTATTTAGGTGACTGGAGAATACACGGCGGTTAGTGGAAAAGCACAACGACGGACTTCAGATGAGGAAGTGGATAATCCTCACTTCATTTGAAAGAAACTGCGGTTTTGTGGCAAAGTTCGCTACCGATTCTGCTGGAGAACATTACTTAAGGAGGAACAAGGGTGAATTGCTTTATGGGATGGGGAAACTTCAATTCCGTCTCCCGCCAATAAAACATGAAACAGATAGCAGCAAGCGCTAAAAGCGCCAAATTTAATGCTTCTGTTAAATTTCAGCAATGGTGTTGTGACGACATTAGGACTAGATAGGGGTAACTCGAAACCCATATAGTCTCTGCGTCTATCTCCCCTATGATGCTCCTGCCCCAACCGGATCTGATGTACGCTATCTACTGGAGGCAGTGGCAGCACTGGTGACATAATAATTGGATGTGATGACAATGCACACCACTTCCACTGGAGAAGCAGTGACACCTATAGGGCATCCTATCCATTAGCATACACTGGGAAGAGATATCAGCCGGTATAGTGATCACAAAACCTGGCATCCTAGTTCTGGTACATCTACAACAATATCGTTTTTGTTAAAAAAATTGCTGAAAATTAAGAATAAGAAGAATTTGAAAAATTAAATTTGTTTGAATAAAATTTCCAACCCCCCAAAATATGTATCTAATAATAGATGTAATCATTATATGGGGGCTACCCCGGCCAATAGTAATAATTTTTATTAGAGAGATTTTATACTCAATAAGAATCCTATTGAAAGAAATTTTGATAGTTAGCAGCATAGAGATTTCTCCTGATCAAGCAACGAGAAATCAAATTGACCATATTGTTATAGACGGACGGCATTCGTCCAGTGTTTTAGACGTTCGATCGATACGAGGAGCGAATATTGATTCGGACCATTACCTGGTGGTATCCAAGGTTCGCACCCTACTTAATGTAGCAGCGAAGGTGCGGTTTAATGTAACACGGAAACTCGAAGTCGAAAAGCTGCAAACACAACAGATAGCAGAAGCATACTCCGCTCAACTTATCCACCTGCTTGACGAAAGGACTTCTTGTCCCGATAATAGTATAGTAGCACAATGGCAAAGAATTGCTCACTCCCTACAAACTGCAGCAAAAGCAACATGGTACGATCAAGAGTGTCCTATTGCTACTGATGTGAAAAACGCAGCGTATAGGGCAACCCTACAGACAGTAGCAAAAATTAATGCGTGGGAGAATTATTGTGGGAGAAAGGAGATAAGATGATCAGTACAATTTGGCTACAGGAATGCATGCCCAATGATTGGAACCTCAGCATCCTGCGTCCCAAGTCTCCTTCCCATCACATATAAAGTACTATCCAGCGTGCAGTGTAAACGGCTGAAGACCTGGTAAATCCACCATTGACCAGATTTTCACTCTGCCGCATTCGACAGCCCTTACTCGTTGAGAAGTGATGAAAGCTATGTCTGCGTTCGGCATTCCTGCAAAACTAATACGACTTTAACTGGCACAAGGTCAGCAGTTAATGTCGCATAGGTTTTGAAATTCGGAGAAGGATAGTGTTGGCCAACAGATGCTACTATGGTCTAAGTAAGCAGTTTAGAAAAGCATGGGTACTTGCGCAAGCAGATGAAGTGTTTGAGAGAATAATTCTCCGAAAGATCTATGGATCGATCTACGTCGACGGTGAATATCGCCGTCGAATGAACCATGAGTTGTACCAGCTATTCTCGGGCATCAGCATTGTAAGACGTATCGAGCTACTGTCTAGGTCATGTTATGAGAATGGATGAGGATGCCCCACCACAAAAGGCATATAAAGGCGAACCTACTGATGTATTCTTTTCCTTATTTATTTATAAACTTCGTATGTGTCGATGATCATCATTTTCATTCAAACTACAATATTTGATATTGTTTTTTTGACCCCAGTATTTCCTATAAAGATATATAGCCAATAATGGGAAAGGTGTCATTATTGCCACAGAAACTGGTATAACTGTTGTTAAATCGGCCTGAGGTTGTGGTAGACTACGAAGAAGAAATATTGCAATGCCAGTATTTTGTATACCCGTCTCAATGGCAATGGTAAGGGCATCAGCGGCACTTTGATTTAGATTACGAGCTAAATACCACGCCAAACCGTAACCCAGCCATGGAAGTAAGGAGCCAGCCAAAATGATCTAAAAATAAAATCAAATTATTTTTTATTAAAATTTTTACAGGATTAGGATACTTACCCTCCATGAAAATAATTCAAATAAATATAGATTTGTCACTGTTGCAAATATAATGATGAATAGTATTAAACACTTTGAAATAGGTTCCAAAAAACGCACCAATATTTTGCTATATTTAGGAGAATATTTTTGTATACCAACACCAATGGCTAGGGGTATTACCAGGGCCACAGCAAATGTGGCAATTTTTGAGTATGGTATTATCATATTACCACGTCTGAATATTACTTGACCCAATGTAAATATCCATAATGGTATCATACCGAACGCCGCCACATTGCTTAGACTTGTCATTAGCAGGGACAAATTCATATTTCCGCCCAAAATAACAGTCCACATATTGGAGGCCCCACCACTGGGTGAAATTCCCGTAAAAAATAAACCCAATTGCATTTCTATGCTATGGGGAAATACAACAACAGCAAGAACATAACTTAACACAGGCATTAAGATGAATTGGGTTATAAACCCAATAAGGGGACCCTGAAAAGTAACAAATTTTAGATAAATTATTTATAAATCCAATATTATTTTAGATTTTATACACACCACAGGTTTTATAATTAATTTCCTAAGGACCTTCAAATCCATTGCAGCTCCAAAATTCACATAGAGTAATGAGACCAATAATGCCACTGACCCAGTAAAAATGTGATCAATCAATCGTGGTTTCCTTATGATTATCAATGGCAAAAATTCTTTGCTAATTTCCACATGATTATTTTTGTCATCTATCATTCGAACATAGATTTTTGTAAAACCTAATAATTTAACATCAACTGTTATGAAACCACTCCATTTCCGAATTGTTTCATCAATTTGAGAGCCCACAACTTCGTTTTTGACCTTGGCCAAGTGTTCGTCTTCCGCATAAAATTCAAATGTTATGTCATTTAAATTTTGAAAATCAACATCTACTGCAATAAAATAAGAAAGAACATTACATTTATTCATTTTTTTTAAATTTCATATCCGAACATACCCCTCAGTTCCGCTTCAATGTTAATAACACTATTCATGTGGGCTGTTATGTTAGCTGGCTTAAACACAACATGCCATTGTGGCAACGTCTCTTCTCTTTGAAGTTCTCTAAGTGTTCGATGTTTTCGTCTTGTTGTTGTTGTTTTTGTAGCTTCAATTGGACATGACCAAGAGATTAAACTTGTAAAGAGACACATAGCCACCATTATTTTGGGAAAGTAAAACATTGTCATTTTTGTTAGCAAACAATTATTTGGATTTAATTTTTTAAAATAAATTGTAAAACAATAAAATTCACTTGTTGAAAATAGGTGTAAATAAATATCCCACTTTTAGAAGTGTTTTCTGTAGCCGTACTTCCGCCGATCGCAGCTTATTTACATTGAAAACCAAAACAAACTAGATCGAAGTAAATTTCGCTGAGCACGAAGAGAATGGTTGTTGCTTTTGAAATGAGAAATATTTAAAGGTAGTTAGTAAAGTCGTAACGGATTCGTTGTCTAGTTCGGATAGGCGTAGAATCCCATTCAATTCAAATGTACATTACACGATTTTTAAAGAATCCACCATTATTTGTACGTACAGATCCTAGATAATATTATTTAAAAAAAATTCATGAATATCTGCCAAACAAATCCATGATTCAAAGTCGACTCGCTACTTCGTATGCGGAAGGGAATACAAAATTAATAATATTTTATATGGAAATTGTTGCATATTTGTTATACCATAATTCCGGATTGGGTGGCGTAAGGGATGATAGATACCAAGCAACGGCTTGGTATCTACAGACCAAAGACATATTTTACGAGCGCCTAGAAACAGCATATGACCACTACCTTGACATTAAAATTCTGCTGGGAGATTTTAATGCAAAAATCGGAAGGGAAAATATCATTGGCCCCACCGTCGGAAAATTCAGCCGCCATGAAGAAACATCAGTCAACGCCATGAGGTTGATTGACTTCGCGGCAGCAAAAAACATGGTAGTTAGCAGCACCAGATTCAAGCATCTCGATATAGACAAGGCCACTTGGATTTCTCCAGATCAAACAAATCAAATTGATTAAGTTTTAACAGACGGAAGGCATTCATCCAGTGTTTTAGACGTTGCATCGATACGAGGAGCGAATATCGATTCGGACATTGTAGCAGTCAAGGTTCCAACCCGTCTTAATGTAGCAGCAAAGGTGCGATTTAATGTAACACGGAAATTCGATGTCGGAAAGTTGCACACACAACAGGCCTACTCCGCTCAACTTATCCACTTGCTCCTTCCAATTACATATAAAGTTCTATCCAGCGCACTGTGTGAACGACTGAAGCCAATGGTCAATGACATTATTGGACCAATGCGTCTTCAAACTTGGCACACATATAATCAAGTTGTACCAAATATTGTACCTTTTAGTAACTATTATACTTACATATACCAATTCGACTCTCCAACAGCAACCTTTATTCCAAATTTTAGGATTCCAGATCTCTGCGTTCACCTAATTTCAAATTGTACCAAATCTTGTGCCGTTTAGTACTCATCGTACACATAAATACTAATTTTAAAAGCTGTCATTATAGCTCAATCCTCAACAGTGATCTTAATTCCAAATATCAGGTTTTCAGGTCTATCCGTTCGCCCAAAATTCAAATCGTACTAAATTTAGTACTTTTCACAACCATAAGTACGAATTTCCTAAACTACCTCAATCCCACACTCCAACAGTCATTTTAATTTCCAATTTTAAGACGCCTGTTCACCTACATGTAACTAGTACGAAATTTAGTACCATTTAGTATTTTTCGTACACATAGGTACGATTTTTTAAGCTACCACAATCCTGTACTCTAATAATAATCTTAATTCCTATTTTCAGGATTCCATCTCTATACTCTCACCTAAATGCAATTAGTACCAAATTAAGTTCCATTCCCAACGTGTATTACATATAAAATTTCAAGATTTTAGCTATACATGTTAAATATATACACAATTAGAACCAAATTTAGTAAAGTTTAGTACGTTTCGTACACTTACAGGTCGAAGTTCCAAAAATCCTTTTGTACATCTTAAAAACTTTTCATCAGTGACCTGCATTCCCAATTTCAGAGGTCTAGCTCTTCACGTTTGCTTAATACAATTGGTACCACATTTAGTACTTTTCGTACCCTTCTAGTTCGAATTTCTAAAAACCACAGCCTTATCACTCGCCTAAACATCAACAACAATCCACACTAAAAATTCCACACAGAGGGGTCTACGATCCAAAACGACCCGAGTCTTACTCGGCCAACGTCTGTCACCTCAGCCCATTGTGTAAATCCATTAGGGCTGCTACAAGAACAACAACAAAAAATTCCAAGCTTCTAGCTTCAGCCGTTTTGAATTTAGTTCTTAAATTTACTATTTGGCATAATATCTGACATTCCACATCATTGTTATTGAATTAATTTTGGCCCATTGTATGGAGGTACCAGAAGGGGTGGACCAATATATCGATGGGCACAGTGTCTATACCCTCATTATTCATAAGGCTGAGGGCATATAAATAGCCTGAGAATCCTCCACAATTAAAGAGAGATCGTTACATTAGGAAAAAACAGTGTTTTGTCCGACGATTTGTTTTCAAAAATGACGATGAAACAATTCGAAGTGTTTTGGTTATGAGATAATCGATGTTCCTTGCTGTTATTGAAGAATATGATTTGGAGAATATGTGGTTTCAACAAGACGTGTCATGTGCCACATACACCTCGAGCCAAAATGGCTTTATTGCCATTGCCCATGGCTACTGGCCGTGTTGTTTCTCGTTATCGCGATATCAGGATCATACGATTTGACATCATCACTACCTACAGAAAAATATTTCATCCGCAGAAGTCCCAAAGCTTTTTTCTACTTAATATTTACTATATATATTATCTAAAACTTATTCTATCAATGACGATTTATATTTGAACAAAAATTATAGCATTTATAAATGCATCCATCTGTGCAAATAGATTTTTTTAATAAAATTAGAACAAAAACTGATTGAAAATATTTGGCATGTGCATGCAAATTTCTATTTGCACACACAAGTTATGACAGAGTAAAACAAAAAAGCACCGTTGAAAAAAATTCTTCAAAAATCCAAGCCTTCTAATAGTCCTTGAACAAAAATTCTTCGAAATGCACGCCTTCTGATAGTCGTTGAAAAAATATTCTTCGAAAATCCACGCCTTCTGATAGTCGTTGAAAAAATATTCTTCGAAAATCTACGCCTTCTGATAGTCGTTGAAAAAAACATAACGTAATTCATCGGATTGAAAGGGGTACATTTTCAAAATCAGAACTGTTCTGATTTTCATACTGCATGAAATGTTCACACATGCCCTGTGGTGCACAGAGGCTTAATAAAAAAAATACATTTCCATTATCATTAGTTTACAAATTCTTTGTCAACAGCATCATAATTTTATTTGTTTTATTACTTAAAATCGAATAGAAAAAGTTGCGAAATATTTCATTTCAAAACATAATTTCTCTTTTTTGAAGAGGGAGGGAGAAGGAGATGACATTATATTTCAAATTATTGTAAAAATCATAACGTAAAATTAGAAAATAAAATGAAACAAAATCCGATAATTCTAATATCTATAATGATCAGGCTTGAAGGGACCATTGATGGGAATACCCAAATATTTAGCTTGTTTCTCTGACAATTTGGTCAATTTAACACCCAATTTCTCCAAGTGCAAACTGGCAACTTCTTCATCCAAATGCTTGGGCAAGACATGAACACCGACAGCGTACTGTTCCGATTTGGTCCACAATTCGATTTGAGCCAAAACTTGATTTGTGAAGGAGTTGGACATGACGAAACTGGGATGACCATGGGCACAACCCAGATTGACCAAACGACCTTCAGCCAAGACAATAATGTGACGGCCATTGGGCAGGGTGTAACGATCAACTTGAGGTTTAACATTCACCTTTTCGACGGCATTGGTATTCAACCAGGCGACATCGATTTCACAATCGAAATGGCCAATGTTGCAGACAATGGCATCATCGTTCATGTTCAAAAAGTGTTCACCGGTGATGATGTCGATGCAGCCAGTGGTGGTGACGAAGATGGTAGCTTCTTTGCTGGCCTCCTCCATGGTGGTGACTTCATAGCCTTCCATGGCAGCTTGCAAGGCATTGATGGGATCAATTTCGGTGATGAGAACACGGCCACCGAAACCCTTCAAGGCTTGGGCACAACCCTTGCCTACATCACCGTAACCGGCAACAACACAAACCTTGCCAGCGATCATGACATCTGTGGCACGCTTGATACCATCGATAAGAGATTCACGGCAGCCATACAAGTTATCGAATTTGCTCTTGGTAACCGAGTCATTGACATTGATGGCTGGTACACCCAAACGTCCCTCCTTGAACATTTTGTACAAATTGTGAACACCGGTGGTGGTCTCCTCGGACAAACCCTTGATGCCCTTCAAGTATTGAGGGTATTTTTCATGGACCAAATTGGTCAAATCACCACCATCATCCAAGATCATGTTCAAGGGTTGACCATCGGGGAAGACCAAAGTTTGTTCAATGCACCATTGGTATTCTTCTTCGGTTTCACCCTTCCAGGCATAGACGGGTACACCGGTGGCGGCAATAGCAGCAGCAGCATGATCTTGTGTACTGAAAATGTTACAGCTGGACCATTGAACCTATTGATAAAAAACGAGGAGGAAATAATTTAAAGAAATTGATTAATATTATTATAGTTTTTAATGGCGACCTTGATTGTACAAAAATATAAGGCGATAATTGAATAAAAAAACATAAAGAGAAACACACATGTTTCTTAGAGATAATCCAATAAAAGATCAAGCGCCTGATGACCCCGATTGTTGTCACCAGCAAACAGCATTCACTCATTACTAATCACAGTTATTTGTGATAATAGTTTTCAGATTTCAATTTGTTGGAAAAAAAGAGGAGGGGCCTAAAATACTGGCTTTCATGTGCGTAATACATCTAAGCTTTATCTCTTTTTTGTTTTCTTTTCATATGGTGAAATTCATTTTAATTTAAAAATAAAAAAATAAAGATTTGTGATAACCAAATTTGAGGTCGTTTGGAGATGACCCCTGCCTGATGCTTAGAAAGTAAATTTAAATATGTAACAATTTGGCCAGAGCAATAAAAACAATAGCATTTCCTTGTCAAAAATATAACGCAGAAAAATTTTTGTATAAACATAGATGGTTGTAAAATGGTTAACAAAAGATTAAATCGGATTTGGAAACTCTGATTTGACAAAAAAAAAAAAAAATACAAAACAAAAATGATAGGATTATCATAGAGATTTCGAAATCATGTGTTTTGAAAATATTGTTTTCCAAATTAGAATTAAAAACATAAATCAGTTTCTTAGACTAGAATCGGTGTATCTATAAATGCGAGCAGTCTCATGAAAATCTTATGTATGCAGGGGACCTCTAAAAAAATTTCTATTTACCGAGTGACTGAAAAAGGCAATGTGTATGAGCGATCTTTGGTCCGAAGGTGTGATTGGACCTCAGACAATGGAACGATGGAATGGAATGGTCATATGACAACCGCCATTTTTGTGGCCTGCTATTGAGGAATACGAATTGGAGAATGTGTGGTTTCAACAAGACGATGCCACATGACATGGCTTTATTGCAAGGGAGTTCCTGACCGCATAATTTCTCGTCCAAGATCTTGCGATTTGACACCATTAAACATTTTATGGGGCAATGCGAATGGTCGCGTTTTTACATGTAAATTTGAATTGTGTTTTTTAATTTAAATTGATACCCATATTGCCTTAGCAAATTTTAAAAGCCGTGAGAAAATACAAGGGTCCCAACGGAACTTTGGAGGCTTTGGAGGATATATCTGAAAATATCGATTTCCGCAAGTAAAAAGGGATACCACTATAATCAGGGCCCCAAGGACCACATGTGGTAAAAGTTTCAAAACGATGGAGTCCTAAAGGACTCTGACGATGGATTCAGAAGGATCGCGCGGAATTTTTGAGACCCAGATCACAGAAAGTATGGACATATTTGATATGAATATAAAATTGTTGTAATCAAATCAAATGCTTCGAAATGATACCCATATTGCCTTAGTGAATTTTAAATATGTATGAGAAAATACAAGGGTCCCAACGGAACTTTTGAGGCCCATATCTCCGGAAATACCGATTTCCGCAAGAAAAAAAGTATACTGCTGTAATCAGGGCTCCAAGGACTACATGTGGTAAAAATTTCAAAACGATCCGTGAGGGGGCCCTAAACTAGACTTAAGCCCCTATTTACTTTTATCCATAAAAATCCAATTTGGAATAAGTCTAGAAATTCCATTTCCATGGCGTTGAAAGATAAATCCTGTCATTAAAAATAAGTTTTTAAATAATCGTTTCGACATTAAATTGAATGCATTTAAATCTCTAATTACAGCAATCGTAGATTCGATCTATCTCATTGTTTAATTTCACAATTATTCTCTAACCTGACATAATACTATTTCTTTCACTAACAGTTACATTAAAAATTGTTTTTTTTTTCATTCGAACATTAACTTACCTCAGCGCCCAATTCAACCAAAGTTTCAATAAGTACAGCAGTCTGAACCGTCATATGCAAACAGCCGGCAATACGGGCACCTTTCAAAATTTTCGAAGGACCGTACTTCTTGCGGCAAGCCATCAAACCGGGCATTTCATTTTCAGCAATAATGATAGCCTTGCGGCCCCATTCGGCTAACTTTATATCAGCTGTTGATTATCCACCAAAAAAAGGAATGTGTGCAGCAATAGCAACAACGGCGGCGGCAGAGAGACGGCAAAAATGAATGAGGTTGGTCAGCAACAAAATGACGGTAATCGGGAGGAAGAAAAAAAGAAAACAAAACAATGATTAGTACTGGTAATGGCAAAAAAACGTGTTCGCAGACAGACAGCATCACACATAAACTTAATATACTATATGTAAAAGATAAGATTTATTTCACAAAAAAATAATTACAATTTCAAATTACACACACAAACACGTTTACTTACCAACTTTATAGGCTGGCTTCGACATTTTGCGTTTTTTGTTAATTTTTGCGGTTTATGGGGGAAACAGGAGTGAAGTACAAAATAAATGCCCTGCAAGAGAATGTCAAAAGTTGAATTGCAATTTATTCTTTCATATAATTTATCAGTTTTATACATATAATTATTAAATAAATATATTAGAATAAATACGCACGCGGTTCGAAACGATGGTTCTCGCTGGCTGGCTACGATTCAAAGAACCTGACAACGATTGATGGTATTGCCACAACTGTCAACTATTTATAAAACATTGAATGGCGTTGCCAACTATAGTGTTGTGTTATTAGTGATTAGAATGAATACCAAGTATTTCATTAAATTGTAACAGTTGTAGATACCTCAGAATGTGAATAAATGAAAGGAAATTCGTATTGGACCAAATGCAGAGATAAAAACGGACATGTCCGCAAAAATGTGTGTACATATCTAAGGTGTAATTATAACAAAGGTGTATCTACCAATTGATTACAATTTTTCTTAAAGTGGTCATGTGTGTGTACACAATGAACACTATGTCCAATAAATTAAAATTTATTTGAAAAGAAGCCCATTTCTACAGCATTCGTAAGGATGTAACAGATATTTTATGGTATTACCTACTTTTAAACCTAAATAAACACAACAATCTGTTGCGTATATTTATTTTATATTTGATAGTAAAAGTCAATACCTACAGAGTTGCTTCATTTATTCAACTCAAATTATTATTGTTCCATGATTATTATACTTGAAGATCGAAAAACCGGCAGTGTGAGCTATACAGACATTTTCTGTTATTTTCCACTGGGGCCTTAGGACCATTTTAAGAGTGCCTGAGTTTATTAATCACCAAAAATATACGAATTTCCCTGACTATGTCGATGTTTGCGTGTAGATTGTAAAGCTCGTGGTTCATTTCGGAGAATTTTTCTTTCAAACTCCCCAAGACCTGTCTCATCTGCTTGCGTAAGTATCCATGCTTCAGATCCATATTACAGCACGGGTAGTATCAGCGTCTTGTAAAGTGTGAGTTTGGTGTGGCAGGAGGTGGCCTTGTTTCTAAACGGCCATAGTAGCATCTGTTGACCATCAGTATCCTTCTCCGAATTTCAAAACTGATGTCATTAGTGTTGTTTTTGGCGGTACCAAGGTATACACAATATTTAACTACCTCGAAGCTGTAATTCTCAAGTTCCACAGTTGGTCCGAGTCTACTGGACGTCTTGGGCATTGATAACATCAGCTTGGTCTTCTTGCCATTTACTGCCAGACCCACATTGGCAGACTCTTTATCAATTTGTTCAAAGGTGGCTGTTATCGCTCGCAATGTCCGAACCATTATATCGATGTCATCGAAATAGGCGAGTAGCACGTGTTGCTGGTTGTACAGAGTGCCATTTCTGTTCAACTTTGCGTCTTGTATGACCTTTTCTAGCAGGATCTTAAAAAGATCACACTTATCTTAATCCTCGTTCGGTATTGAAGGGCTCCGAGAAATCGTTTCCGACTTTAACTGTCACTCCACCCGGAGACAAATGGTCCATTGTGTTCATCCGAGAGTGAAAATCTGGTTAATGGTGGACTTGCTAGGTCTAGGCCGCACTGGTGTAGCTCAATAATGTCATTGACCATTGGTTTCAGTCGTTCACACAGTACACTGGATAGCACTTTATATGCGATGTGAAGAAGACTGATTCCTCTATAGTTGGCACATATCGTATTGTCTCCTTTTTGTGCACGGCACACATGAGGCTGAGTTCGGCTCCTGCTGTTTTATTGTTCTTCAGCCGATTAATTGTTATTCTGAACACATCATGGCTAGGTGGTATACACTCTATACCGTCATTCCGCAGCAAAGTTCAAAGTTCTGATAAAGTTTGCATATGGATGGTTTGATTGAGCCATCAATTGCTAGATCTGTAGATTGTGATCCTCGTCTAGCTAATTGGTCCGCTCGTTCATTGCCCATGATGTAACGGTGTCCTGGTGCCCAACAAAGCCGATAGCGTAAGTTCTTTTATTTTTTATAACATTCATTTTTTTATTTCAAATGGGGTTTTATTTGTCATGTTTTGTGTAAACATTCTGTAATGCTGATTTTCACATACACCAGCTTCGGTATATAATTCCAGGCAAGCGTTGTTTTCACACACAGAGTGATGCCAATTGGCAACACTTTTTCCAATCAGCTGTTCGTTGTACTACAGCCACAGCGAAACGGCAGTAGAAAATAATTTCAAGCTATATATTTTTTAATAATTTTAATTAAATAATGTGGAAAGAAATCAAAATACAAGACACATTATATTTTATGAAATGTGATATCAGTGAAACAAATGAAGTAACTCTCATTTTATACGATCAGAACAGAACATGGAGTGAGAACGTTGCATTGGAGGAATTGAAGCGCCGAGTAAAGGTAAACAATTTGTTGTTGTTTATATCAGTAAAAGAAAAAGAGAAGGATATGGGTAAATTTTATTATTGTCTTGTTTTCCGAAATTTTCTTTAGCTATTAAATCGTCGCTATGATTTTAACGAAGAAAATATACGCAAAACATTGTGGGGTGGAGATGGAGATTTAGATGATGCCTCATTGGAAGGCCCAGTGGTGAAACAAGGGGAACACAAGCTAACATTAAAAGTAAAATATCGCGTTATGAACTGTCCTTTTCGGTGTGAATGGAATTTAGTGAGACACACATGGCAAGAGGTAGTCGTCATTGATGAATGGTGAAAATGGATTTTAATCTCTTTTTTCTTCTTTTTCTCCTTTTTCAGTTTCAAGATTTATTTGTTATGCCCATGTTGAAAACATTGATTGCCTGCAAGGAACAAATGGATACGTTGACTGATACTATTAAGAAAAAAGATGCTGAAATTTCACAATATCGTAAAAATGGTGCAATATTAGGACGAAGTAGGTGAACAAAATGTATATCTTCTTTATATGATTGATTCTGAATAAAAATTCAGTATCATTATCTATTCTATAGTTTGATACTACTGTACAAAACATATTGGAGATCAGTTGTAATGTGTAGATACTAGATATCTAAGCTGTAACGTATTTTTTACCACACACTGGCATACACACAGATTGTTTATTTTGTGTGCATATCAAAACGAAGGCTCACACACACATAAACATAACATTAATGTTATCAACATAAACAGAAACTGTTATTATGTTATATTTAGATAAAATTTCTTGAAGCAAAATCTATTTTCAGAACAAGTTATTTAATTATTATATTCTGTAATACCTTGAAATATTCGCTGGAGACCCCATTAAATATATTCTTAATCAGAAATGATTACTTATTTACTTTTTTTTAATGACAACATATTTTTTTTCATTACAGAAACCTTGGAAACAAAACTTTTCGCCTTCGAAGAATTTCATCGGAAATATGAAAGTTCCAATCAACTTTTAAATGACTTTAGTGTATTGGGACAGTTGTTGTCAAAGCATAACACAGAAAAAACTTCCCCCAAGATCGGTGAGGTGAAAAAGCAAGAGAAAACTGAAACAACCACGGTTAATAAAATTCCACCTACCAGTCCAGGACAGAGGTAAATTGTTTTCAAACTTACATATAAAAGTAGTTTTATATTTAAATAATTTTTTTGCAGGAAAACCATGTTAAAAAAACAAATGATGGAAAAGTTGATGAAGCCACGCAGACCAGTTTTCGAATATGAAAATAGTCAAAGTGAAAGTCAAACGACTGAGGATGATGTGCAAGAAAATGAGCGAAAAAGTGATGACCGTCAAAAGGAAGATAAAAAATCGACAACCACTATTTCTGATAATCGAACAACATCAACAGCCAGTCCAATTCACATGTAAATATATATGCGAACTTTAAAAGTATATCACTTTAAATTATTCTGTTTTATTTATTTTAGACCTAGAGAATTAAAAAATCTTGTAAGCGATTTAGTAATAGCTGAAAACCTAGACATACCTTTAACATCCAGATCAGACAATGATAGTCGTGATAAAATTAAAGCATCTGACAAATCTGCAGCAATCAGTCAAGATCAAAAGTAATTTATTTTTTTTTTTTTCATATTATTACATAAAGAAGAAATAATCATTTGTATCTGTTTTTTTTAGAAGTAAAGAATTAAAAAGTCCATCGGTGGTGGAAGTAAAGACCAAAGTTTCAAGGTAATTGAAATTTGTTTTTGTATCTTATTTTTTTTTTGCTTATATACCTTTTCTACTTTTATAGAGAACTTAAAAATCTTGTATCAGATTTAGTTAATGCCGAAAATCCCGCTATTACCCCAGTAAAAAGAGCTGATGGACATGATAAAAATAAAGCATCTGACAAATCTTCAGCATCCAGATCAGACACCCATGGTCATCATAAAACTAAAACATCTGACAAATCTTCAGCTGTCAGTCAAGATCAAAAGTAATATACATATATTTTTTTAATATCACAAAAATATAAATAATCACTTGTATCTGTTTTTTTAGCAGTAAAGAATTGAAAACCACAGCGACCAAAAATTCAGATGTGGTGGAGGTAAAGACCAGAGTTTCAAGGTATTTGCTATTCTATATCTTTCTGTATATATATTTTTTTATTTATATGCTTTTCCTATTTCTAAATAACGTAGAGAACTGAAAAATCTTGTAACTGACTTGGTGATTGCCGAAAATCCCGTTAATAGCCCAACAATAAGAGCTCGTGAAAATGACGAGAAAATTTCAACACGACATTCTGAAAAGAAGCTGCAGGAGAAAGATACTGAGAGTCCCAGAAAAAGGTAAAAATAAAAAAATAACAAGATATAATTAAATTATTTTAGATAAACCTTGGCACATTCCTGGACTTTCAATTACGATGGAACATGAATGCTGAGGAACAGGCGAAGAGAGGACAGATGGCACTCTATGCATGCAAGAATTCCATTGAGAAAATTTGGTGTCTAAAACCATCGACTATACACTGGATGTATAACACCGTGGTTAGGTCCATCATTTGCTATGGATCTCTTGTTTGGTGTCACTGCCTACGCCATAAGTCGTTATCCAGATGGGAAGCGGGTCTCCATGATGTGCAGA